ATCGAAATTCCATCTTGTTATGTTGGGAATAGATCAAATTGGCATCTGTTCAGCTGGCGAAGAAGTATATGAATAGGGTTGCCACAGAGCTAGATGCCTTGCAAGGCACCGAGAAAGAGCCCAACAGAGAGTTCTTGCTTCTTCAGGGTGTGAGATTTGCTTTCCGAGTTCATCAGGTATAATTCATGGGCATATATACGATGGTGTTGATTAATCTGAACTAACATGATGGTGTTGATTAATCTGAACTAGCATGATGGCCCGTGCAGATTGCGCGGCTAGCATCATTATATTTTCTCTCATATAATAGCATATATGTTTTTTTTAATGTATTATTCAAATATATTAAAATAGCAACATAATTTTAAATTTTATACTAACTTTATGAAACTACTAATGTGTAATATTAATATTGTATTTTATATACGTGTTAGTTATTAATTATTTTTAATATCAGATTTTAGTTATTTGTAAATTATATTCCTATATGAACTCTAGACTCGTCTTTCAATATTTATTTTTTTTAATTCCGAATTTTCGTTATTTGTAAATTGTATTTCTATATAGACTCTAGGCTCTTCTTCCAATATTATTTATTTTTAATTCTGAATTTTTATTATTTCTAATTGTATTTCTATGTGGACTATAAATTCATCTTTTGATAATCTTTAATTTTTAATTTTGAATTTCAGTTACTTCTGAATTGTATTCCTATATTGACTTTAGACTCTTCTTCCCATTTTTTAATTTCGAATTTTAGTTATTTTTAAATTGTATTTTTATACGAACTCTAAACTCTACTTTTAATTTTATTATGTTTATTCTGAATTTTAGTTAGTTTTAAATTCCTATATGGACTCTATAATCTACTTCTAATATTCCTTATTTTTAATTCTGATTTTCTATTACTTCTCAATTGTATTTTCATATGGACTCTATACTCTACTTCTAATACTCCTTATTTTTAATTTCGATTTTCTATTACTTCTTAATTGTATTTCTATATGGACTCTATACTCTACTTCTAATATTCCTTATTTTTAATTCCGAATTTCTGTTTTTTCTTAATTTTATTGCTATATGAATTCTGCTTTTCTTTTTCTCCGATTAATATGAGAATTTCTAGGCCATAAGAGAGAACGTGGATGCTCCTTTTTTTATTCCTTTAATAAGTTAATAGATTGAGAAATTGAAATTTATCTACTTGACAACTTATTCTTTTCTGACATAAGACAACTTATTCTTGTGTGTTGTATAGTTTGCCGGAGGCTTTGACGAGGAAAGCATGAAGGCGTTTGAAGAGCTAAGAAGCAAGATGTGTACAACACAGACATCTGCTCCACAAATTTCATAGCTCTAACCATGCATGCTGCATTCCACAGTTGACTGGTTTATTTTCTTTGTTGAAACTTGAAAGGCAAGATTAATTGAGTGGCTAAAAAGTAGAAAAATACAAGTGTAAATCCCAATATGGCAGGAAAGGATGATTAAGTGTACAGACGATGAATACATGCATACTAGATTATGTATTTCTTTGTATTTAAAGGTTGCAAGAGCGCATTTTTAAAAGCAAAAGAACTAGTACTACCAATCAGCTAGACTGCTTATATTTTTTTAGATGATGGAATATAATATCCCGGCCTTTGCTCAAGAAGAGCTACAGCTAATTATTACAAAGTAGCACTCGAGATAATAGTGTAGTTCAAATAAAATAGAACACACTTAAATAGGAAAAAACCAAAATAAGAAGAACACATTTATTCCAGCCTATTTGTTAATCTCCATCCATAGTTGGCATAAAGTTGCATAACCATTTGTTAATGAAAAACACGAGGCCTGGGAGATCTGCTTAACTCCAGTGCAGGTCAAAAACTCGCCTTCGGGTATGCTAGCGTGCCAGTTGATTTGATCCTGCAATCAACAAAAAACAAAGACAAATAAACCGTGGAACCTATAAACGATAGCCGATCGGCTAAGTGCCGATGACATATCATTTATCTTGGAGCCGATGTCATACATGTATCGATCGGCAGTCATAAGTAATTAAGAAGGAACTAAATCTACTCGATCGGCTGTAGATATTAACAATATATACTCCTCATATCGATATATACTTAAATCAAGTGATTGGGATAGATCGGTCACCATGTCAAGACAGTATAAATCACTTACATCGAAATATATATTAATAATGGGACTATATATACTCATAGCATAGCCGATCAGATAGATATAGCATGTATCGGCTAATACTCCGATACCACTCTATACTAAGATATTAAAGCAAGTAGAATATACTGAACAAAGGCCTAATATACGTAAATGCAACAAGATCTTAGCACAGAGGGTAGATTTAACATATCAGCGAAGCATATAGAATAAATGTAGTTAAATCAGGTAAGATCGGCTGAAACCCCGATACTACTCTAATCGGCAACCAGAAGGCAAGCTAGAGACTGATATTCTAAACACGACTTAATAGATCAAACTCAACTGATGCAGCATTAAGTATGAAAAGAAGAACGATATCTAGACAATCAAGCCGCTAGAAGTTTCATAGAGTGGTGGATATCCTATATAATCTAAGTCAACATCGATGTCTAATCTAATCGGCTGCCCTCTACCGACAGATGTTAGCCGATTGTAGGTTAGATAGCGATATTGCCAGAGATTATGTAAGATATATGATAACTCGATGAATTACATAAACAAGATTAGAGTATCATAAAGATGGAAGCACTAATCCCGAGAACGCAAGCCGTCATAACAAGTTTTACCTCTTGTTGAAGATCGAGACAGATACAGCTCAACCCGAAAGTAAGAACTCGTTGAAATAAAACTAAAGCAAAAAGGGTGGCGATGCGCCGAGATTGTATTGAACGTGTGTGTTCCTTAATTAAATGGGGTTCGAGGTCTATTTATACCCGAGAATTACAAACTATGTCCATATCGGACACGACTCTTATCTCTAACAAACTCTAAGATACCATAAGTCTTTGCGGCAGACTTTTGCCAAACATATTTCTAAGGGAATTACATAAAATATCCTAATTAATAGATACAATTGCCTTCTCAGGACTATATCCATGCGCGGCAATCATCTTGAAGCATATCAACCCAACCCGATGTTGTACACCAAGTCGTATTGTCGGAATCGGCCGCATCACCAAGCCAAGTCTGACTCGAACTTAGCCGATCCAATCGTAGCCGATCCAGACTCCAGTCGATTCTTACTCTGTTTCCGCTATAATCCTTATCTTTGATTCCGCTTCGATCTAATCTTCCTTTCCGATACTGATATTACCAAATTTGGTCGTTAACACCATTGTCTCCAACTCGCGACATGCAACTTTCAGAAACTCTCCATCTTCATCACACCTTTGTAATTGTGCCCAAAATCGGAGCCAATGAGTTGCCCTGAAAATTACCTGCATATAGGAAATAGATGGTGATTTGTCAAAAAACCATATCATTTCTACTCAACTATAGAGCCTAACAAATTTTATTGCATTCAGATTTAATGTGATGAATTAGGGATATGGCTATTCGACATCTTGAGGGACCATCTAAGTTGCTGGTTTTTACTTTGCTAGGTGCAACTATTCTGATGAAGTCTTAAAAAGACCTAATCCAAGCATCTTAAGCTGGCCAATAGCAATATAGCATCCAAGAAGACCATGACAGCAATATGTGTGTTTGATCAAAGTAGTATCAAGTAAATCATCATACACATTCATCAAGATATAAAAAGTTCAATAGAACTGACATGTTTAATAATATGGGATCAACAATGGTTTAGTAATCCTATCTTCTACGTTACAAAATTGTGAAGAGAAAAAAACAAAAACAAATGCTCCTTGCGCCTACCTCCAATGGAGAAGAGAGAAGAGGGACATGGAGAATGGGGAGCAAGGGAGTTTAGGGCTAACCTGTGGAGGGGAAGAGTGGGGTTGCGGATCAACGGCGGCAAGTACCACCGGCGGCTTGTGCCGACGCCTGGCACACAGTCAAGGCAGTTTGGATGGAGGCGGCGGCATCGGGATCGGCATCGGAGGAGAGGGCAGCGATGGCAGTGGAATAGAGGGCGGCGGCGGCGGTAGTGGAGAGCGTGAGAGGGCGGGGCGAGCCAACATTGAAGGTGTATAAGTGAGGAGAAGAGGGCGAGGAGAGCTAGAGAGAGGAGAGGAACAGAGCGGAGGAGGCGAAGGCGAAGGAGCCACCACTTTTGTCGTGTGGCATCGGGAGCAAGGGCAGCGGCCACAGAGTGACACGGCGGCGGCCAGAGCAGCACGGTAGAGGAGAAGGGAGCTGCGGCGGCGACGGAGGAGGTGGGGCGTCTTTGCGCCGGATCCGCCAGCGAGCAGACCGGGGTCACCGGATTCAGCGGCCCCGGCCTCCTCACTGGGAGATCCGGCGGCTCATTAGGAGGGAGCGGTGGCGGCAGCACGGTAGAGGAGAGGGAGCTGCGGGCTGCGGCAGCGATGGCGCACGCGAGCGGAGGCGGCGACGGCGCATGCGAGCGGAGGCGGCGAGCGAACCGACGGGTGTGGGGAGAGGAGAGGACAGGCGGCTAGGGTTTTTACCGGTTCGCGAAATCCAAGCCGTCCGTCCACAATCCGACGATCACACGGGCGTGGAAGGGCCAGCACACTGGGACACGTGGACGGCTAGATCGACCCTACGGCGAGATCAGATGGTGGACGAGTAGTTGGGTTTGAAGTGGAGTTAGAGCAGTCTAAAATCAGATCCGTTTCTCTAATTTATTTTGTGATAGCGCTTCAACCAACTCTACTTTCATTTTAGATGGTGTTAAAACTATTTGTCTGGGCTCTAGCTCCAAGAGACATGAAGCTGGAGTTGAAGCAGTGCAAAACATACATTTACATTTCCTTCATAAAAAATTGAAGAAGGCTGAAATTTGAAGGATTTAAGTTGGAATATTCGACCCATATATAAAATGAGAAAAATGTTCAAGCCCATATATTGAGGAGCCCATGAAGGAGGCCAGCCCAATGGTCCCTTCTTTCCTTCCTTTGTGTCCAAATCCAAACAGACGACGTCTTGTTAAACCCTAGAGCCACCACCCCACAGAGCAACATCGCCGCCGCCACCGCCAGCCGCAACAGCACCGACGACGAGGACGAGCTGAGAATACGAGGCGATGCCGAAATCCAAGCGCAACCGCCCTGGTAACTGCATCTAATCCCTATACTCCGCGGCGATTCGTTGCTCATCCATCTATCTGACTGATTCTATTCTTACCTCGCTCATATCCTATCTTTTGCAATTTTATATATGCTGTTAGTTCTAATCATAGAGAATCATACAGTTTACTTTGCACAGCTTGTTTACTTCATTCATGCTTTTCACTCGCCAGTAGTAAGGTACAGACTATGCTGTGATGCTGTTTCCCCAAGGCCAAGGGAGATCCAAAAACCTTCTCTTTTTATTTTTTTTTTCTATCCTGCATATTCTGCACAGATCGCTCTTGTTTTGTAATTAGTTAGTTATCAGCACCAAAGCTCTAATTTGTGCCCCTGATTCGAGCGCAGTAACCTTATCCAAGACCAAGAAGAAGCCTGGATTAGAGCGCAAGGGCAAAGTTGTTACCGATATCAAAGATGCCGTCGAGCACTACGCTAATGCCTATGTCTTCACCTACGATAACATGAGGAATCAGAAGCTCAAGGACCTCAGAGAGCAGCTCAAGTCCTCCAGCAGGTAGCTGCCTCTTATTATTATTAGTATTACTAGTCTAGCCAGTACTGTGCCTCTCTGCTCAAAGCATCAAACGATATGCTGCATAGATTGAATTTTCGCTTTTCGGTTATGCTTTTCGCTTTAACCTTGCAACTACAACATATTTGCATGTATTTGCAAAGGCTATTCTAGGTTGGCTGTTTGATGAAATTCTTACATACTCCCTTTATGTCAGGATATTCCTTGCTGGAAAGAAGGTCATGCAGATAGCGTTGGGGCGTTCACCTGCTGATGAAGCTAAAACAGGCCTTCATAAACTTTCCAAGGTGACATTTTCCTTTCTTAACACTTGGCATATAATACAATCCACACCATTCCTTTGAATTATGAGCTCTTACTTGATGTATGTTTTCTGTATTTAGTTCCTACAAGGTGATACTGGACTGTTCTTTACTAATCTTCCAAGAGATGATGTAGAGAGGTAGTCTCCTCATCCAATGGCTTGCACTTTATACTTATACATGATGACTGCCTATGCTTGATATGAGCTTTTTTTTTGCCATATATTCCACTGCAGATTATTTCGAGAATTCGAAGAGCATGATTTCGCCAGGACAGGAAGTATTGCGACAGAAACGGTATTCAAGTTATCCTTTCTATTTATGTACCTCTGTTCATGGCTTGTTTTCTCAGTAAACAATCTAGAATGACCATGCTTATCGAGATTTATGCTGACGTTACCAATGACAATGTTAAGCTCTTTGGTGATTTTAGGAATGAAAGTAGTAGGATTTACAGTAACTTGTGGAAAATTAAGTCAAAAGCACTTTGACAGTGTTAAGCTCTTTGGTGATTTTGTTTTAGCTGTGGTGTCTGCAATGCACAATGTCTGGAATAACTATTCACTCTCTCTTCTTCATAAAACATGGTTTACTAAATTTAGAACCTGATGATATGTCAGGTGGAGCTTAAGGAAGGCCCCTTAGAACAGTTTACACATGAAATGGAACCCTTTCTACGCAAGCAAGGAATGCCAGTTCGTCTGAACAAAGGTTAGCAGTTTCCCTACATTTTTTGTGCGCGTGTTGGAAATCACCAAGCGAAATGGTTGTAAAGTTTGGCCTGGTTGATGCAGGTGCGGTAGAATTAGTTGCAGATCACATAGTATGTGAAGAAGGGAAGCCCATTTCACCAGAAGCAGCACAAACTCTGGTATGTACTGCATATCGTGCATGATTAAAAAAATGCAAAATCAGATTGGCATTTTTGATGATGTTAATATTGTGACCAAGCCAATGGTAACATCTTTGTGGTGTCGTAATTATTATGTACTTTAAGAAATACACAAGTTAAAACACATTGGCCAATCCTATGTCTTTCTATTCCATTGCATTAAGGTCCTCTTTAATTTCTGTATTGCAGCGGTTGCTTGGGATGCAGATGGCAACATTCCGACTGTACCTTGTCTGCCGGTGGTCCTCTGATGACTTCGAAGTTTACAAGGAAGGCTTGGCGCAACTGCGAGCTGAAGCTGATGATTCTTCTTAAGCTTGTTTGGCTTGCACACCCAGTTTGCAGTGACGCACTTGCTGTCTTGTTGTGCTGAGGCAGTTTTTGGTATTGTGCGTGCGCATGGCGTCTGTGCTCTTTTTTGCCGGAATGACCGAAGGAGGTCATTCAATGTAAGCGTCTGTGCTCTTGGTACGTTGGAAATCTGAAAAATGTAATATGTTAACAGGGTGTTCGTTGTCCTAGTATTTTCTATAAAACTCTTCGTGTCTTATTAACAGGGTGGCACATCTACGCAGCTAACATGCTTCATCTGTTGGTATTTAAACTCTTCCGAACAATTGTTACTCCCTGAATGAATTCGTTGGTAGCTATAATTTGATTTCTCGCCAAAAAGAAGAAAGAAAACGTACTCTTTAGTTGTTTTTGGAGCCTAGCCTGGGGCCTCTGTGAGTGTTGTGTGCAGGTTTGTTTGTTTTGTTAATTTCATTCTTCCTGTTTCTTTTATTTAATTCTTTCGGATAGAAAATTTCCGAAATGTTATTTCCAGTTCATATCTCAACGGTGATGATAAAGATAGACCAAACCTTTTTTATGTCATGAATGAATACTGAAAATTTGTAAGACTCGGGCTGCCAGGCTTCATTAAGGAAACTCATTGGGGTTACAAACTGAGATTCCTTCAACTATGTTGGTAAGCCCTAGAACTTGATATTTTCTCTTGTCTCCTGTCCACCAGTCAAGCTATATATATATCGTTGGTTAATGAGCTATACATTTTATACTCACAAGTGAGTGAGTTGCACTCTTGTTAATGAGATCACCCCAATTCACCGTAGCAGACACACGACTTTTCTCTCTCATAGGTTGTTACTACTCCATATGTCCTGTTAGTTAGGACTGTACTACTACATGGTTTATTAATCAATATACTACTACATTGTTACTATCATCATCATCTTGTAAGTAGATGAAGCAGCAGATCGAACTCAAACTAGGAAGAGCAATGGCGTCGGTGGCGGTGCCGGAGTGGCTGAACAAGGGCGACAACGCCTGGCAGATGCTCTCCGCCACGCTCGTCGCCCTGCAGGGCTTCCCCGGTCTCGCCCTCTTCTACGCCGGCGCCGTCACCCGCAAGTGCGCGCTCACCTCCGCATTCATGGCGCTCTACGCCATGGCCGCCACCATGCCGTGCTGGGCGCTCTGGGCGCACAACATGGCCTTCGGCCACCGCCTCCTGCCCTTCGTCGGCCGCCCCGCCCCGGCGCTCGCCCAGCACTACATGCTCACCCAGGCGCTGCTCCCCTTCACCCTCCACCTCCACTCCAACGGCGAGGTGGAGACGGCCGCGGTGGCGCCGCTGTACCCGTCGGCGAGCATGGTGTTCTTCCAGTGGGCCTCCGCCGGCGTCACCGTGGGGCTGGTCGCCGGCGCCGTGCTCGGGCGCATGAGCGTCAAGGCGTGGATGGCGTTCGTGCCGCTGTGGACGACGCTGTCCTATACGGTGGGAGCGTACAGCATTTGGGGCGGGGGCTTCCTCTTCCACTGGGGCGTCATGGACTACTCCGGCGGCTACGTCGTTCACCTCGCCGCCGGCGTCTCCGGCTACACGGCCGCGTACTGGGTGGGACCAAGGAGGAAGGAGGAGGAGGAAATGACAATGGCGGGTGGTGGCAACCTGGTGGCGATGGTGGCCGGCGCGGGCATCCTGTGGATGGGGTGGACCGGCTTCAACGGCGGCGACCCCTTCTCCGCCAACACCGACTCGTCGGTGGCGGTGCTCAACACGCACATCTGCACCACCACCAGCATCCTCGCTTGGGTTTGCTGCGACATCGCCGTCCGCGGGAGGCCGTCGGTGGTGGGCGCGGTGCAGGGCATGATCACCGGCCTGGTGTGCATAACTCCGGCGGCAGGGCTGGTGCAGGGGTGGGCAGCTCTGCTAATGGGCGTCGCGTCGGGGACACTGCCATGCTACACCATGAACGCCGCCATGTCGTTCAAGGTAGACGACACGCTGGGCATCCTGCACACCCACGCGGTGTCCGGTGTTCTGGGCGGCGTCCTCACCGGCGTTTTCGCGCACCCTACTCTCTGTGACATGTTCCTTCCGGTGACCGGCTCAAGGGGCCTCGTCTACGGCGTCCGCGCCGGCGGGGTGCAGGTGTTGAAGCAGGTCGCCGCCGCATTGTTCGTTGCCGCATGGAACGTGGCCGCCACGTCCATCATCTTGGTCGTCGTCAGGGCGTTCGTGCCGCTGAGGATGACGGAAGATGAGCTGCTCGCCGGAGACATTGCCGTACATGGGGAACAAGCTTATTATTTTTCGAGTGGCACCAATTGTAGTTTAAGCCATGAGACCATTGAGGTCGGAAATTCATAATCTTTTCTTTTCATGAAATTAAGCCTCCGTGCCTCACTGACAGAGTGACAGCTAATCCGGCCATTGTTGACACAAGTTCCTGAATAAACTCATCGTCTAGTTCCTCTTTTAAAAAATCAACAACTGATGGAATTACCGATTGAAGATTTGTTTTTTGGTCAACTTGATCAGTTTTCTCAAACATATGTGCGTGCTTTGTGAACACTAATCACTCGTCACAGCATTAGCATATACTCTTTTTGGCATAGGCGCATAGCCTTGCTTTATTTTTGTAAGAGAAAAAAAATGGCATTGTTATTAATTTCCAAGGCTAATCAAACAAAAGTTTCAAAGTTCCAAGGTCAAACATCAAGTACAGCTTTCTTCTAGTAGTAATTTCTGATGAGATGCCTGTTCCTGATCTGAGCTAGCAAACATAACATGCTCTGTTTTGGAACCTAATTACTACTGCTTCCTCCTCCGACCTAAATTATTGTCCTCTTCTTTGAAGGAGGGGTCATTGAGAACTTGTGTGAGATTAGCAGCATCCTTTTCGTGATCAAAATAAATGATGTCTGACTCTACCAAGTCCCTGCCCTCACTAAGCTCGGGCGCAACAGAGCCATACATACGAATGGCATCATCAACATTGTAGTCAGGAATGACATCGGCATCAGCATCGTCATCGTCATTAGAATGACTTCCAGTTGCACATGGTGGATGCAATATCGTTCTTGGTTCATCACAGAAGCTGCAAAGGCGACCTGCTGGGAAAGCCAAAACAATATTATTATTACACCAATCCAGTAGGGCATTAACATGCATGCAAATTGCAATAACGATTGCCACAATTATTGTGCCTGTCTAATACATTCCTTGACAAAAATAAAAATTACTTCCTCCGTTTCATATTATAAGACTTTCTAGCATTATCCACATTTATATATATGTTACCTAGATTCATTAACATCTATATAAATATAGACAATGCTAAAAAGTCTTATAACCTGAAACGGAGATAGTAGTAGAGTAGGAACAAGAGTTGAGTGACTCACCGAAACATGCATTATAATTTTGAACAGGAGAGCAGATGGGCTTTGAATTTGATTTGTTAAATCGACCAGATTGTGAGTCCCAGAATTCGGCGAAGAACAGTTTGCGCACAGGGGGGTTTGCCTCACCACCATTGAGCACATTAGTGCCATTGGCGCTTGCCAGGAAGTTAGCATGGTAGCTTCTCCAGTGATAGGATTTGGGTTCCTCCAGTCCACAGATGACATCAAGCTTGTACCTTGGTTCCTGCAATTACAAACACATTTTAGCATAATCAATCTCAAGTGCAGCAATTAATTAAATAATTAATCAATCAAGAAACCAAAAGGTAATTAAGTTTGTACTAGTGTGAATTCAATTTACGTACCCAAGGATGTTGTCTGCAATATTTGAGAAGCAATTCCTCTAGGTTGCTGCGAGCAAACCTCTGTCGCTTCACATAGGCTGACCTTCTCTTGGATAATTCTGCCAAGTCGTGTGGAGCAGCAGATGGAGGAGGCAGCGCTCTTTTTCTGCCAATCTTTTTGGTTATCATAAGCCGCTCTTGGATCATCATTGCGTTTAGCTGCTCCCAATCAGCATCGGAGATGACACGGCCAGAGCCATCGGTAATGGATCTCAGCAAGTGGCGCAGCCGGTCGAGCTTCTCGCCGTCGCCGGAGAGGGACAGGAGGAATGACCCGAGCGCGGTGTGCTGCGGGTGCTTGGAAGCCTCGGCTGCTGCGGCGTATGGGTTCTTCTTCTTGGTCATCGTCACGGTGTGCTGCTGCTGCAGCTTGTCGGTGAGGTCACATTGCGTGGACCACGGCCTCATGTTTGGATAGTGTGTCACCGGTGGTGGTGATGGCACGGAGGAGGGTGACGAGGCCGTCGAGGGAGCGGGAGACATGGCGCGGGTGTCGGAGATGTCCTGTGGCAACTCTTGGTGTGTGGGGAGAGGGTAGGCGGTGTGGTACCAAAGGGCGTTGAGGATATGATGTTGGAGACGGGGTCCAAGGACACGACGAGGGCGCGGAGGAGGCGGCCACGGCGCAGCGTGGAGTCCGCGGTGTGGTTGTCGTCGTCGTGGTAACACGTAAATCTGCCCAAGCTGCTGCTGTGGGTTGGGGATTTTCCGCCGCTTCATCGCAAGCTGACACTTTTCCTTCCTTTCTTCCTTCCACGTTGAAGTTTGTTCCGTTGAGGCTTCCTTCCTTCCTTGTTGATGTATGTATATATAAACACAGTAATAAGGCTGGAGGCCCAACAGGAATCGGATACGGGAGCATGTAGTACCAACCCACTCTAGCTTATCACCGCTTTCTTTCTCCTGCCCAACTGTTATCGATCCATCCATATATCTCCCTAACATCAACCATCAAACATTTCTGAACAATTTCCATCCAGCCCATCATAATGCCCTTACCTTACTGTTACTTCCTATTCAAAACCATCATGCATATCCCCAACACAAGCTAAGCTTATTTCTACCATCGACTCTTTATTAGTTCTGTGGAGACAACTCCGGCTCGGACGTCCGATATTGGGGGAAAAATCGACATCAGCGTCCGATTTACGTGAAAAAACTACTTTAAACTGATTTTTCTCTTAAATTACTTATCCAAATCATGATTCGATTACACCATTAAATTTGTTGCAATTAAATCTTCAAAACAAGACCACACATGGATATATTCCGACGAAATTTTTTTAGCTTATTATTGAATTATTTTTAAATGTTGCGCGATGTTCCACCAGATATATCGGAATTGTTTCACTAAATAGATCGAAAATGTTTCACTCGTTTAAATCGGGTGTTGTTTCACCTTATATAAAAACAATGTTTCAGCAAATAGCGAAAGAATATTTCAGTTCGCTGCAATATTTGATCCATACATAGTGAAACATTATAAGTACACTAGATGAAATATTTTTCGGTGGAACAAAAAATAAAACGAATTTCCTTAATAGGGGGTTTCCAAAATATGTGGGTTTTTTGTTGCAATGGAATATTTCATTTCACTGTAACATTAGATCTATATACAGTGAAACACTGTAAGTACACTAGGTGAAATATTTTTGGTGGAACAAAAAATAAACCAAATTCCCTTAATAGGGGGTTTCCAAAATATGTGGGTGATTTTTTGCAACGGCGCGTTCCATAGTATCAAAATTCATTGCAACATTTGATCCGTACATAGTGAAACATCGCAAATACACTTGCTGAAACATCGTAAAACTACTGGTTGAAACATCGAAAGAGATCATATGCAACATTAAAAAAAATATCAATAGAAAAGCTAAAATATTTTTTTTGTCGAAATATAATCATGTGTGGTCTTGTTGTAAAGATTTAATTACAACGAATATAACGGTGTGATCGGATCGTAGATTGGATAATTAGTTTAAGAGAAAATCATTTTAAAGTAAGAGTGGCAGTAGGCGCGGGCGTCCGAGGCGTCCGATTTTTCCACTGCCATCGAACGCCCGGCGCGCAGCATTTCCCTAGTTCTGTTTTTGGAATTAATTAATAAGTAAATTACACTAGCAATACTTAAACTTGTAACGAGGTTTCACTTAGGTCCACGAACTTGCAAAACGTGCGTCGAGATCCTTAAACTTGGTTTAACGTATCATCTCGGTCCAAAGCCTGACCATGGTCTTGCCAACATGGCATGCCACATGGACGATGATATAAACTTCAAAAAACTATTGGTAGTATAAATTAAATATCATCTTCTTAAACAAACCTGGTTCTATCTATTCTATTTATCTATTAAGTATGTAATATTATATAAAAACGTGTGACTACTAACGCGTTGCTAGCTTGATCATTCTGATATACTCTGGCATTAAGTCATAATGTCATACTAGTATCTTGCAAATGACTGTCTAATACCTGGCCGTCTGGTCAGATGATTTATTTGACTTCTGATGATTAGATTTATCATGCTTCCGTGCTTCAAAAGGGAATTAATTAAGTGCAAGATAACACACCACATGTTATAACAGTATAAATATATGATTGATTAATTTGTAACTATATACTGCTACGCGTCCGTCAGACGGTGCTAATTAAATAATTAAGGACTGACCAGGTTACTGTTAAATGGAGTACGAAAAACTGAATAATTAATAATAACATATATAGATCGAGAAGAAAATTTAAACACACGAGCAACACAATGCATGCATGTTCTAGAAAAACTAAATTGTTGAATGACGCGGAAACGTTTCTTTGCATCATATGGATCGGTCGGTCCACTGCTATAGGCGTGAACTCCATGCATCGAAATATATGGGAATTAACTAACGCTGAACCTTCTGTCCTCTTACCTTAGTAAGTATTGCCTGCTGGATCATCTCTATCATCTTATATATAGGAGTATATAGCTATCATCAGATCGACCGATGATTTCGATAGTAAGTTGCAGCAGAGACAAGTCGCAAATTAGACTCACTACATATATACGTATATACTTGCGAACTCTGATTATATTGTCGATCCAGGAGCAACCGAGATTAATCCTCTCCTTAGATTAGATACCATATAATCACTGACAGTGCCATGGCATCGTCAGCTTCGTCGGTGTTCGCGGCCTTCGACAAGGACGGCGACGGCAAGGTGTCCGCGTCCGAGCTGCGGGGCTGCATGGCGGCGGCGCTCGGGGAGGAGGTGTCCGAGGAGGAGGCGGCGGCGATCCTCGCAACGGCCGACACCGACGGCGACGGCTTGCTGGACCACCACGAGTTCATGAGGCTCTCTGCTGCTCATCAGTTGCAGGAGCCAGCGGAGGAGAGCCTAAGGTGCCTGAGGGAGGCGTTCGACATGTACGCGGAGGAGGAGGAGACGGCGGTGATCACGCCGGCGAGCCTGCGGCGGATGCTGAGGCGGCTGGGGTCAGAGCATCAGCGGCTGGAGATGGAGGAGTGCAGGGCCATGATCTGCAGGTTCGACCTCAACGGCGACGGCGTGCTCTCCTTTGACGAGTTCAGGGTCATGATGCTCATGGCTTGACCTACGTTTTATTTTGTTGCACTATTTCTCATTCATTCATTCTTTTGTTGTCAATTATTTAATTAGTGCAGATGACAGATTGATAGCTTGGTAATTCCTCATGTGTCCATATGATGATAGATTCATTCAATTTTATTGTTTTTTTACTTTGCAATTTGCATGCCATAGCACGCACGAGGAAGAATAGCTAGGTCTAGGACAACTTTGTTCAATGTTGATGGATAGACACAAGAGGAGATGGAAGAGTAAGCCCTGCCCTGCAGCTTCCCCATTTCAACGTTTTAGACGACGGCAGACGGGCAGAGCCCATTGTTTGCATTGCACTGGGTCTTTCTAGATTAACAATATAGAAGAGTCTAGTCAATGTTGCAGAATCGAGCAACTTCGACGAAAAACACCATCCTCTGCCGTCGTAACCCTCTCTACATATCGATTCCTGACCAAGCGACATGCAAACGCGTAGATTTTGTTCGGATAACCAGCTTCATAACAAATCCAACTAGCAAATCACATGCAAACGCGTCGATTTTGTTCGGATAACCAGCTTCATAACAAACCCAATTAGCAAATCACACAGCATGCAGCGCAGGGGTGAAGGCTGCAACAAGGCAACCGATCGAGGAACACTTGCATTGTTTTGTTGTACACCACAGCAACCAGGGTTGGCAAATGCATTTATTTACTCAAAGAAAAACCCATATAATATTATAGAATACACAAGTCACTGGCAAGAGCGAAATATTCAAATACTCCATCTTTTTGTCCAAAGAAAAAAATATTTCAGGTACAAAATTCAAACAGCTGGACATGAGACCGTAAACAAGTAACATACAGACAATGGTGTTCCTGTTTATGGCTGCCAACGCCAACCACTACGGCAAAGTGTACATGCAAAATGTCTACAAGCTTTTTTATCACACAACCTATACAAATAATGGTACCAGCCTTTGCAGCTCCCGCTCAACCTAACAACCATCCCTCATCCTATCCCATCGTAACATAATATATATAGCAACCAGCAATTAACTCGACCTGGCTAGAGATTTCACTCGCCAAAATTGTCCTGGTACCAAAAGAATCAGTTTAAACAACCAATAATAGCACATCTACAACTTGAAAGATGCCTCCTCTTCTGTGTAAATTGAAATTCTTATCTAAATGAACTCTTCACAAGTGGATGATAACTCAGTAGCTTCCCATTGGAGGCATCCCATATGCTGGCATAGGTCCAGGACCCATCGGAGGCATCCCCATTCCGCCCATCGGAGGCATGCCCGGCATCCCCATTGGCGGTGGAGGACCGCCCATACCAGGAGGAGCAGGCAAGGCAAGAGGAAGCAATTGGGCATACATGTTCTGCACCATACAATGTAATACCACTCGTCATGCTGCCTACTAAATAATAACAGAATAATAACCAAAAGAAGAGCAATCTCTATAGATTACCTGCTGAGCAACAAGATCTTTTTCTTCCTTCTCTTTAGCCCTTACTTCATTCTGTGATTCAATCCTGTCCTTCACTAGCTCATCAACCTTGCTTGTGTACTCCCGAATGAACTGCACATGAAGCAAGCTTTGTTGTTATGGAAAACTGTACGTAAATGAATAGTCCCAAACACATGAACGGAAACAAGATACCTGTAACAGATAGGGGAATGCAAAGTCCACCATGTTGTTCATCCATGCAAGCTCAAGAGCAACATCCGCACGGATCAAGTCATAACAAATAAAGAGACAAGAAGCAAAGCATTCTTTCTTTCCCTGCAATACACAATTATAGATGTTACTCATCAGAATGCAATACAGATTATGCCTAAATAATAATAAAAAATCAGGTGAGCTTGCTTGTTTCACTTCAATTGGAGTACAGCTTGTCTATTTTTAGATGGCAATGCTACAGAAACTGGATTTCTGGATGCATATTTCCACACACTACATTGCTAGCTCTTAGATATCATCGAACAGAAAATTATGCCACTAAAAACAGCAATAAAAATGCATGGTCTGCATATAACTAGAAGAGATGGCAATGTTACAAGTTAATGCAGCATACTACATGCTAAATATTCAACACAAAAATAAGATAGAAATTTATGGGCTTAAATCAAACCTGTTCAATGAAATAGACAAGCAAATCTTCTGACAGCTCGCGGTCACCAGACTGTGAGCATGTCTCCATGCAATCCTTGTACATGTTGTCTTTCTTCGACAGGGCAATAGATTGCTTCCATCTGCCAGCCTTCTTGTAAATGTAGGCAGCGATCCTCCTCATCTCAAGCAATTCATGCTTCTCAAGCTGATCAAGGCATTCCAGCCATTAGTTATTCAAAATAAAAAAAAAAGGAAAAATAACATCAATAAGCAGTACAATCATCTAATCGCTTTACCTTCTGGGCAAGACCTATCTGATCAAAGTTGTCATGCATATCAACCGATTCACGGAGTCTCTCATAATCCTCCTCTTCAACATAAAGCTCATTCAAAGATTCATTCACAGCAGAGACATTGTTGCTCTGAACTGCAACCATGTATGGTTTCACAAGATGCAACTGACCAGCCTGTACAAAGAATAATGAAATAGTTCAAAATTTTGAAACGGAGCAAAACTGATAGACCAATAGAAGGCCCTGCCATAAGAAACAAACCTTGCGCATTATGTCCACGACTCTTGTATGATCCAAACGAAGCGCGAGTACATTGAGAAGGTCATTGATGAGATCAGGATGCTCTTGCAGATAGAAGTGCACTGCCTTGTAGTATAGCTCAACATTTGCAACTTTAACAGCAACATCCTTAAATTGCATATGATCCCATGCATCCGGAGAATGGTTCATAATAGTGGTGGCAGCATTGTCAAATTCATCATACTGGATGTATAGGTAAGTAAGCTCTTTCCAGTGCTGCTGTTCATCACAAGCACGGATAAGCTTAGGAATGTTGAGACGTGTGGAGAAAAGTTTGATATGTTCCATGAGCTTCTCAGGGCGATATCTAGCATAGAGGACTCCTAATTCTGTGAAGATGCCCATGTGAGCACGCTCCAGTCCTAGACCACTTTCCATGAGGGAAATAAGTTCATTGAAACATCCTCTGTTCTGGTAGTATTCACTTACTTCCTCCAAATCATCAACCTATACAAAAAAAAGGGTGTTAGAAAAAATCTAGATAAGAAAAGACTTGTACTGAAATATGTTTTAGTTCTAACAGGTTGGTCCTGTATATATACCTGGACAATAATATTGAGACCACATATTTGTGCTAGCCGGAACTCCTCGGCATCAACACAAGCAAAGCAGACTTCCTTCCATGTTTTAGCACTGTTAGCCTTGCGAGCAGCATCCACAGCACCTTGGAACTGCTTCAGCTTAACAAGGGTAACAGCCAGCTTAGCCCAGTTTGAGATGAAGGCATAGATGATCTTTGCTGCTTCATAAAGTTCTTCATCATACAGACGATCACCAACATTTTGAAGATTGGCAACATTTGGCATGAGAATGAACTCTTCAATATCACTGAGTCTATCAATCTTAGCATACGCAAAGATGAGTTCTCCATCAACTTTGGGTTCCCTTGCCTTCTGCCTTACCATAAGCAAGTACTTAACTAGATCATCGTATACATTAGCTTCCTCAGCAGCACGGATGACGTCGAGGAAATGTGTTGCATCATCTGCACGAATGAAGGACTCAATTGCTTCACTAACCAAACCTTCACGCAACTGGGCCTTGGCAACCTGGCTCCAAACAGCATCTTCTTCAACACGGAATGCAAACTCTTCAGCTCTTTCTATGCTTCGGATGTTGTCCAATAGAACATTGACAGCCTGCACATTTAAGTTGAACTTCTTGAAGATAGCGAAAGCCTCCTCAAACAGCTGTGCTTCAACTGCTACTTCTCCAACAGCAGGCCCATCAAAGTTGTCCAGCCTGTTGACATAGTCCATGACCCTAGATGGGTCAGCCTTGATGGCTGTCAAGATGAGAAGGTTCTGCAGATTGAAGTTTCCACTGAAAGCAGAATTTTGAAGGACGATCTTTTCAAGAAGTTCAATCAGTTCATGGGGAAGATCAGCTGTCATGAAAGCCTTAACGGCAGCAGACACTTGCTCGGGGCTCTTGCTTTCAGGCAAAGCCGTAGAAACCACTTGGTCAATGAGTTGCCTTCTATATTCATTTTCAGGCTGTAGAACTTTATCCCACAGATCACCATCCATTCTTTCAACCACATACCTGGCAATTCAAATCGATTTCTATGTAAGCAATCAATAGATGGATTTAAAGATTCAGAAGAAATAAAATTAAAAGGTATGAAGAATAAAAACAATTTGCATACCTAGCTTGCAGCTTGAACAGTGAGTTTTTATTGGTGACATTAATAAGTTCATCATCACACTGTCCACGTCTGTAAGCAACAACAGCAAGGGTAGGATCCCGCTTTTCACAGTATTTACCGACCACGCGAGAGTCATAAAATGGATTGGTGGTAAGGAAGTGCTCAGGATTATTGTTGCTGTCAATGATGATTTTTCCAAGAGCATTGTGCACATGGACATCTTGGCTACCCTCGCTCACTAAGTGCTCCAAAAATTGTGTCAGCAGCCGTAGGCGGTTCCTGAAAAAAGAAATATAAAAGATGAGATCAGCAACGAAACAAAAAAGCATATGTTTGTGTGCATGTGCACATGCCCTTAAGCTGGCTGTGGAATACAAGATAATATAAAGAATCATACCTCTTCTCGCATTCATCAACTAGTGGCTCAACAGGAAGGAGAGAACGGACAGACAGAATCAAACCCTTAATGAAATCTTCAGGGCACTCATCATCAAGTAGCTGTCCAACAACTAATGGAGCATTTCCAGGGTTCACCTACAATATAAAGGAAAATAAGCATTTAAATACATAGCACATGAGAATGATGATACTCCAATAACACTGAATTGGAAGAGTTGCATACTTTCTGTACATAGCCTTCAATATACCGAAGCATATTATTTGTATACAGATAGTGGGTCAAATCTGGAACAAATCCAAAGCGGTCGCAGACATTAATCAGCGGACGGGCATCAGGCAGTTTCGCTTCCATTAAAAAGTTCTTTGTCTTCTCCGCATCATAAAAGTTGGATTCCCTGGTTACACGTTCAACTTCTTTGATCTGTCCAGTCCTAGCAGCTGCTTCTATGTATTTGAAATGAATATCTGGATCCTCACTGTTGAATGTAAAGAACGATATTAAGGTGCGCCACGTTAAGGACAAAATTGCTTCGCACATATCAACATCAGGTGTAGTTAACTACCTGGAACTCAAATAAGCTCCCAAGAAAAAGTAAAGGCCCTCGTAAGATTTGAATTGCTCAAACAGTTTTATGCAAGCATCAACCCCTAGCTGCTCAGAGTATTCTTTGGCAGCCTGCAGATATGACACATGTTTCGATAATAATCAGAACCAATGTGAGAAGTGACAAAAAAGGGAAGGTCAAACTAAACGTAGCAAAAATACCTGTACAACAATTTGAAGATTCCCTCTTAGATTGACCAGCAGAAGGTCCTTCATGCACTCCAAAGCCCACTCTCTTGAAAGAGTGCCAAAGAACTCAACAAGTGCCTGTTCAATAATGGTGTAAATGGACCACCCCAGCCAGTAATAATAGACAGGCAACAAAGCATAACTTAAGATAACAAACCTGTGGCTCAATGGCATGGGTATTCACCATGACACGCTTGATATCTGGTAATTCTGTGTAATGCTGCATCACAATATAATGTTAATTAAACAGACAGGCAAAGAAAAAAAAAAGTAAACCAAAACAACAAAAAGGTACTGACCTGGAGAGCTCGCAAGTACAAGCCAGCCTTTTCACAAAGCTGAGCAACACGAGGGCGATCATAATGACTGAACATACCATTAGCAAGGATGGCATCAGCAACATTTGGGTAAGTGACCAAGTTGATCTCCAAAACCTACAATCAATTCAAACAGAAACTACTGAGCAACACAACAGTATAAAGGTAAAAGAAGCCACTGAGCAACATGGCAATGCAAAGGTAAAAGGCCGAACTTATTGGGAAAAAACTGCTAACCTTGGTTTGAAGAAAAGCATGCTCCGGCAAGTTTGGCTTTAAAACATCCAGCAGGAAAGCTGTTGCCTCACG